CTCATTGCAATGTTTTTTATAAAATATATCTAGATTAACATATATGTGCATATATATCCATTTATCAACCCCTACACCAGCATTAGTATGCACTGACACTCAACCCATGGTCTTCACCAGCATTCCTTGGGAATTTATTCTAAATGCTACTTTGTGGGCCCTGTCCAGCCTTCCAGGACTCAGCAAGAGGATTCTGACACAAGTAATCATTGAGTTGATGATCTCCACAGATGCTTCTCAATCTTGGCTGGCTTTGGACTCAGAAGGGATCTTGGACCTCTGCTATTGTCCAATCTCTATCCCCAGGGATTCTGATTTGTTGGGTTTGGAGTGTGTGTGTGTGTGTGTGTGTGTGTGTGTGTGTGTGTGTGTGTGTTTTGGAGATGGGGTGGTTTCTTGGGTTCTTCCAAATCATTCCCGCTCAAATCCAGGAATAAATACTATTGCTCTCTCCTACTTAGGTTGTCTTAGTCTTTAAGGCCATTTGAATCAACTATAACCCATGAAGTGATGCTGGACTGGGGACTGGTTTCCCTCCCCAATCTTTAGATTCCGGTTTAAGTCTTTGTCTTTCTGGGCATCCCTCTGCAGTACGATTCACAGCATACCATAAAGGACTAGCAAGCATGATAGGGTCAGAGTTTAGCATGAAGTGACATTTTATTAGCAGCACCCAAATGAGAAAAAGATAGGCTGAGGGTTAGGAAGATGAAATGTGGGGTGAACAGTGAGAGAGAGGGTGGGGATGCTCTCATAAATATTATAATCCTACTGTGAAAATTGCAATTTCTAATTGCAGTGTATCCCTGTAACAGGGCCCTAAGCCTTGGTAAGCCCCAAGACCTTAGCACAACTGACTGCATGATGGAAGTAGAGTTTAGGCTGCAAAACTCAACACCACCTGCCAATATTCTGCTCTTTGAACTGGAGAGGGAGGGAGAGAGGAGTGGGGGGAGGGGAAGAAGGGTGGGAGGAGGGAGAGGGAAATGGGAGGCTGGGAGGAGGCAGAAACTTTTTTTTTCTTTTCTCAGTAAAAAAAAGAAATTAATTGTGATTCTCAATAAATATCAAACTTCTCCTGAATCTGTAACAAAAAAAAAAAAAGGGCCTAATTCATCAAAGTCCTTTGTTCTAGGGAACGGTTAAATGTACTAACCTTGTTTTTTGGCTTCTGTACTTCCACTTCTAGCTAGCTTTTCTCATTAACTGAAGTATGTCAACCCAGAACATAGTTTGTGGTTAAAATCTCATCCTGAGAAACACTTGAGGCTACACTGGAATCCCGAACACCCAATGTAGTCTCAAGCTAATAAAGACTTTCTATTGACTTAAACGTATGTATGAGCAGTCTTTCTGATGAATACCCTACAACATCCCTTACACTATTGTTTTGCAGAGCAGAATTTTGTCTTCTCAAAATGACAGAATCACTTAACATATCTCTGTATACGTCCATCCCCACAACAGTTGTGGGCCCAGGAGATGCTGGCTGGTAAGTAGAAGGAAGAAAGAGGAGTGGGGGGGGGAGGGGGAGAAGGGTGGGAGGAGGGGGAGGGAAATAGGAGACTGGGAGGAGGTGGAAACTTTTTTTTTCCTTTTCTCAATAAAAATAAATAAAGAAAGAAAGAAAGAAAAAGAAAATTAGAAAAGAAACAGAGCTAAAGAGTAATTTATGTAAGTGGAGAGAGGGTGGGAAATATAGCAATATAATACTTTCTTCAGTTATGTTCCCAACATAAGAAGAGAGTGTTAATTAAAAACAACTTTACAATGAACCAAAGATAATAGCAGATGATATTAACAACTTGCAAAAAACTGTGGACACATTCTTTAGGCAAGTCCCTGAGCTAAAAATTAATATGAATTCTTTCATTTAATCCCCAAAATAGTCATCCTACACATCTGTAAGCAACTGGTTGCAGGCCTTTTTGTTGGTGTCAAAATTACTTGACCTGTTGTGTAAAGGGGTTTCAGATGCAAGTATAACTTGTGCAATACTCTCAAATATGTCCAGTCATCTCTAGAACGCATACAGTACCTAATTCAGTATAAGTGCTAAGATTATTATAGTTTTGTTGTATTGGTTTTTTGCTTGTTTGGGTTTTTTGCTGTTTCATTTTTATGACATGGTAATACTATGTAGGTTTGGGATTGCCTGAGCTTACTGTGTAGACTAGGTTGGCCTTGAATTTGCACAGACCCACCTCCCTCTGTTTCCCAAATACTGGGATTAAAGGTGTGTGCCACCACGGTAAAGGTGTGCACCACTGTATTCTTTTTAGGATGATGACAAAGATAAAAGTCTGTACACATCCAATAAAGAGCTATTTTTTAAATATACATTTTGAGCTAAGATTGGTTGAATCTACAGATCTGCAGACTCCAGGTTTGGAGGGCTAACTGTAGCATTAAAGGTGAGTCTTGTTTTTAGTTCCCCTTGCTGATTAGGGAGCTTCCACATCCAAGACCACAAAGCTGAAAGCAACAGAAACTGGATTTGTATCCCAGGATCTGCCTTACTTAGATCAAGGTAGTGTGTGGAGAGTGCAGAAGTCAAGCACAGATGGAACCAAGAGTAGGAATCTTAACTGACCTGCCAAGTCCTTGCTGAGGTTAAGGTATCAACAGCTGTAAGGCTACAGTATCACTACGCTGCTTGAAGTGACTGGCTCAACATGAACTAGATCAAGGTAAGTTTAAAACATGGAAGAGTCCTGGTTCTGTTACACTGGTTCTTCACCTTGAATTAGATGAGAAGTTAAAAGGTCATCTGAAATCTTTAGCCAAATAGTGAACAGTGTCAAAAAGAGTGTGTGATCCACCACTCTGGATCACCGTGACTCAACCACATGGGAGAGAAAAACTAGGCCAATCAACAAGCTACAGAAACACACACACACACACGATGTATGAGAAGGAAAAAAAAATCACTCAAGTGGGAGAAATGGGAGCTTGGAACTTAAATAACCAAAAGAAAGAAACCTGACGTTCCTTGAAATAAGGACAGTGGGGGGAAACTGTGCCTCATAATACCAACTGCAGGAGTCTGGAAGCCCAGAGACTGTGACTGTTCTTCAAAGTACAAGTCTCATCCACTGATGACTCATGTAAGCATGGTATTGTGTCATATTAGTATGTTTAATAACATATAATAAAGGAAAAATAATATATCACCAATAAGTATTATTTTTTGAACATTATAAAGCCCTGTTAAGGCGACTGAGTGCAACCCACCAATTCTCACTAAAAGGTACTGCAAGACAACCCCTAAAAAGAATCACAGATACCAAAAAGAGGTAAGGGGATAAACAAGAAGGAATAGAAGGCTTCTGTCCTACCCTGGTAAAGATGGAAGAACAAGGAGATTACAACCCCGACTTCTTTTGGAAATGAAATAAGGGCAGATTATAGAACATGCCTCAACTTGACAAATGTCACCTCAGAAATGGAATCAGAAAAACAGTAGGAAAAGACCTGAAATATTGCATCTCAGTTAGAAGGTATTATAGGTCTGGGACGCTCTAGGGGAGGGGAATAATTTTGGTTTTAGTTTGTTGTTCTAAGTTTTGATAGCTAAATTTGCTTTTTATTAAGTAGTCACAGAAAAGCTTATCACAATTGGGGATTGATAGCAAACCACTATCAACTGGGTCGTGATGTCACATGCCTTTCATCCCAGTTCTTGGAAGGCAGAAGCAGGCAGATCTCTGTGAGTCTGAGGCCAGCGGCATCTATAGAGTGAGTTTCAGGATAGCCACAGCAGTTACACAAAGAAACCCTGTCTCAAGAAAAATAAATTACATGAAAACCCATGGAACTTTGGTTCCTTGGTTTGCAACCTTGCAACATTCCATGTTCCATCTTGCAGATAATCATGGTGTTCTAGTTAGTGAAGGCCTTGAGCCTTCACTATATGGAGCTTCTGAAGAGAATTGCAGGTCACAGAGCTAAATTTTAAGACATCCATTTCCATATCTATCAGACTCCAGAACGCTCCATACTTTTTTGTAAACGTGCCAATCTCTGAACATGTTGGCACGTTTATGCCTGTTATACATTAAGTACCATCAACAATGCACTGGCAATGAGCGACTGAAGTGGTTGATGGACAGTCCCCATTACAATCAACAAGAATCATTACAAAGTGACCTCACTCAAACCCTTTTGTATCTCAAAGACTCATGCAGCTGGGAGGAGGGATCAAAATGAGAAACAACAGTCTTTCCCAGTTTTGTCTCAACATGGAATTTTACACTATGTCAAAACATCTTCCACTGGCTCTGTTGTTTTGCTTTGCTCCTTAGCAACTATCATCATCAGAAATTCTATATAAATGAGCATGAAAAATATACTAGTGTCTTAGTTGAGTTTTTATTGTTGAAATAAAATGCCATAAAAAACAGCCACCCTTCCATCACAGCTCATCATCAGAGGAAGTCAGACAGGAAGGCAAATAGGGTAGGAACTTGGTACAGGATAGAGCACAGGAGAGTGCTGCTCACTGGCTTGCTTCTTAAGGCTCACTCAGCTGTTTTAGACCATCAGCCTGTGTGTGGCCCCATCCACAATGGGATGGATTATCTCAATCAACTTTTTGTTGTTGTTGTTGTTGTTGTTTTGTTTTGTTTTGTTTTTATTTTTTAAGATATGGTTTTTCTGGTAACAGTCCTAGCTATCCTGGAACTAACTCTTGTAGACCAGGCTGGTCTCAAACTCACAGAGATCCACCTATTTCTGCCTCCTGAGTGTGTGCCGCCATTGCCCGGCCCAATCACCCATTTTTAAAATGCCCTACAGACTTGTCTACAGCCTGATCTTAAGATGGAAGCATCTCAATTGAGGTTCCCTTCTCTAAGTTGACATAAAAACAAGTAAGCACAGACACTCTATACCCATAAAACCTTTACAATCTTTTTTTTTATTATAAAACAATGTACAGTACACAGCTATTTGCCTACAACATAATTACCCTGAGTGACCTCAGAAATCTATAGAGCTCATCAAAACTCTACCAAATCTTGAGCAATGGCACATTCTCTTTTCCTTGGTCCTTCCATCCTTCCTGTGGTGAAGACCCTTTGCAACCTAGGAATGGCCAAATTACTAAAAGAAAGATGTTCAAATGGGGTACCACTGTTACCTTCCACTGGTTGTTCAAAACAAAAGAATGGGCTTAAGGGTCCGCAAAAAAGATGCAGAGAGAACTCTTTACATGTCCCTTTTCCTAATCTATTTCCCAGTGCCAGATGGAGACTTGAGAGCTGTCCAGGACACAGGTCAGTGGGCTGAATCTCCCAGTCTTTCACCAAGTTATGACCAGGGTCCCTCCTGCTTATTGACTCCTTTCAGACACCTGGAGCCCACTCTTGCTGTTTCCCCACATCAGCTTCCTGGCAGACCAAGGAAACATGAGAGCTGTCCAGGACACTGGTCAAAAGGGTGAATCTTGAGGATCTTCCGCCAAATTATTACCAGGCTTCCCACAGCAAACATGCCTTAAATCATAAAAGGGCACCAAGGAGGGTTCACCAGTCTCAGCTTCCAGAGCCACATCCTCTAAGCACAAACCCGGGAATCCAGTGATCTGCACCATGTATTGCTCCCCGAGGGAGCCATGCTGCTTGATAAGAATGATCAACTCGTTAATCACCCACTCATGTAAGATAGGTCTCTGGTTTTCTTCTCGGCACATGGGACAGGTCAATATCAAATCTTCCTTTCTTGCCAGTCAATTCTTTGTTCAGTCAAAGCTGCATACGTGAGTACAGGAGAGATAACCAGGATTAGAGTAAAGTCCAGACAAATTGGACAGACTTCCTCCACTTCCAAACTGCAGTCTGGAGTCCACATTTCAAGCAAAATGACCATTTGTTCAGTTTTTTGAAGCAACTGATAGTCTTTAGTACACAATATGTCCTTTGACACACAGGATCTATCTAAATCCACTATGAATATTGAAAACTGTAAATATTAGTTTGTATAGTTCTAGGTGATACTAGATCACCAAAGAATCATAGTTAAGTTTATCATCTGTGATATTTTAAAGAGCTATCTAAAATGGTCCAAAATTCAGGTAGTTACAAGAGGAAAACAAAGCAGTTGGTGTCTTTCCAGTCAGGTGAGCATATTCTGAGCCATTGAACTCTCCTGGATCTTTTTTTTTTCTTTTTCAGGGTTTCTCATTAGTTATGTGATGGAGGAAGGTCATTGGCTAATAAAGGAACTGCCCTGGCCCATTTTATTGGTTAGAAGATAGGTGGGAGGAGAAAACAGAACAGGATACTGGGAGGAAGAGGAAGTGAGCTCAGAGACTTGACAGCTCTCCTCTAGGGAGCAGACGCCTGAGAGAGACGCCATGCCCCGCTCCCAGCATGAAGCTCCGACCCAGGATGGACTAGGCTAGAATCTTCCCGGTAAGACCGGTTCTCACAGATTATTAGAAATGGGTTGATCGGGATGTGAGAATTAGCCTGTAAGTGCTAGAGCTAAAGGGCCAAGCAGTGCTTAAAAGAATACAGTGTCTGTGTAATTATTTTGGGGCATAAGCTAGCCGAGCAGGCGGCCGGGGTGCTGGGAACGCAGCCACGCCGCCCTTATTACTTCAGTTATGGATCCAGACCTGGAACTCACTCTGCAGACCAGGCTGGCCTCCAACTAACAGAGATCAGCCTGCCTCTGCCTCCTGAGCATTGTGATGAAAGGCATGCGCCACCACCGCCTGGCTTCCTCCTGGAGCTTTCATTGATCTAGATGGGAATGCAAGTTTTTCCACCATCCACACTGGTCAGTATTGCTTCCTAAGGTACTATCAGTTTTGTTTTGTTTCTAATCCTTATCTAAATTAATTCATAAAACCCAACTCAACCCTAGTCTATTTAACACAGACCAGATAAGTGACTAAGGAAGCTTCAGAATCGCAGAGAAAAAGGAATGAAGCACAAGTGAGATGCATGAGACTTGGCGTCAACTATCCCAGGATGTACTTAATATTTTTACCGAAAAAAAGAAAAATCACTGGCATTTGTGAAAGGTTTGTTTTCCAGGATTATCTATCAGCTCAAATGATCAGAAATAATTCAGCAATATTGTTGATATTGTTGATATTAATAATTCAGCAATAATTATACTACAGTGATTACAAGTGTTTTATATGTGTGTGCACGCTTGTGTGTGTTTGTGAAAATCATAGAAAAGTAACTGAGAATAGTATCTAAAATGAGAAAAGAATAATTCTAAAACTATACACATACATTTCTTAAAAGCACAAAAATACACGTGGCATGTGTCTGAGGTGCAAGGCTAGCCTGAGCAATGCAGAATTTGTTTCCAAAGGGAAACAAAATTCATAGATGTATTTCATTGTGAAAAGTGTCCTGACATTCTCTTGTGAAATACTTAAGTGGTGATGTTAGAGTCAGACTTCCTAGACAGTGTACAGCCTCCTCTTTCCTCATCTGAATGATAAAAATAAAGACACAGCAAAATTTGTAACCAGAGAGAAACAGGATTGTGAAGACAGCCGTCCTGAAGGGTTAGCTTATTAGCATTGGTGGTTTCCAGCCGAGGACTTAGGGTCTGACCTAGGTGCTTCTTGATTCACCTGCCCAAGCTCTTGGTTGAAGGAGTTTAGGCCCTCAGGCCCAAGCCTTTTATAATGCCTGAGAAAGTCTCCACCCACAATGAGTCATAAGCTCCACCCACAATGTGAGTCAAAGGTTCCCTCTCTTAGTTGTTTTATTTAAGTCTAATCAAGGCCTGTCAGTGATGGGGGCAGTGGTGGTGGCCCACACTTTTGATCCCAGCACTCAGGAGGCAGAAGTAGATTTCTGAGTTCAAAGCCAGCCTGGTCTATAGAATGAGTTCCAAGACAGCCAGGGCGACACACAGACCTTGTCTTGAAAAATCAAAAACACAAATAAATAAATAAATCATTTTTAAAATTCTAATCAAGTAAACATTGATTCTAATCTTCCATGCACACTTATAAGTTAAAGAATTATACTTCTACGCAATTAGAGGTCATTAAAGGCCACCTAACAATTTTACAGTATGTCATAGTAATCCTTGAGTTAAAATGGCAAAGCTGCAGCCATCCAACTGATATTTTACTACTTTCAGAACTAAACTTTTAGAAACAAAACATACTAGGAATCAAATTTAACCTTGTCTGATCTGCTCTAATGTAAATATGTCTGATACAATAAAACATAGCATGATCTAAAAGCAATTTCTATGCCCCTTACCTCAACAATTCTACTTTGGGGATGAACTAGGCAGGATAAGGAAAACATCTCCCAAAGTGACACTGTACACCTGCTGTAATTATTCATAATGTAGTTAATTATTCACTTTTACTCTTCAGAAAAGTCCTTGCTTAAGCAACAAATCACATGGTATCTGTATTGGGCAAGAAACAAAGTAAGTTCTTAGCATTCCTGTTCCTTCAAATGTGTGTTTTGATACACACATCCATTTCTAAATGATTGAGTTGTGCCGATTAAGATATGTATCGTTTTACATAGCTACCAGTTTGGGAATGAGGGAAAGTGTGCTCTCTTGGACATTTTCAAGTATACTATAGACTGCTATTAATTGTAGCTATAAATACTATGAACACTATAAATAAAACACCTCTTTAGAATGACTCCTCCCATTATCCAATAATCCCCATTTTCCTGGTAGCAATATCACCATCTCCTTGTATGTACTGAGGTTTTTTTGTTTGTTTGTTTGTGTTTTTTTACATTCCATACATGAGTAAGACTATGGCATGACTGTTTGGGGGAGACCAGGTAAAATATAAATAATGACGTCTATTCCAGGCCTATAGTTGCAAACAGCAGAACTTTTCTCTTTCTAGGACTATCAGTATCCCATTGTGAATAAAACACATTTTCCTTATTGATTCATTGATGGATTTTACATTGACTCTATCACAGTTGTCATGAACAGTAACAAAATGAATTTGGGACTCTGCATATTTCTGCATTGTATTTATTTCCTTCTCTTTGGGTATACAGAGGAATTGCTGGACCATAAGGCAGCTATGTCTACTTTTTACTGATTTTCATAAAGATTGTATCAATTTACATTTGTTGTGTGACAAACTTTTTCTGAGGAGATATAGTGTCCCAGATAGGAAACCCACAACAGACCAAAATATAGTAGATACCCCCAAAGTCTAATTTGGTGAACCAATGAGTTTCATTGTGGTTGTTTACAGTAATATAGGTGAAGGGTTGCTTACAGGAGCAGAAATGACTCAAAGACAACTGCATCACCAAAGCCCACCCCAGCACAGATACTGCCAAAGCCAAGAACCTGGAGCACACTGAACATCTACAGGCAGCTCAGCGGATTGGGTCCTTTCCAGGTGCTTCTGTTGGACTGACTCTGTTCCAGGCAGCTCCGCTGGTTCTGCCTCTTCCAGGGAGCTGGTCTGTTCTCAGGGTCTTCTTGCAACTTCACTCCCCTGAGTCTTCTTCGCAGATCAGTTTCCTGGTGTGAGATGGAGTCTCCACTTTGATAGCTTACAGACGTCCTGAAGCTACCTTCTTGAGTTTACCTTCCTGTTTCCAGGTATGAGATAACTGGCTTTACATGCATATATCATCAAGAGCACTAAAAAGGTTTTGTAGCCAGGTGTAATGATACACGCCTTTAAATCCAGCAATCGGGAGGCAGAGACAGGTGGATCTCTGTGAATTCAAAGGCAGCCTGGTCTACAGAGTGGGTTCCAGAACAGTCAGGGAAATACAGTGAGACTGTCTCTAAAAAAGGAAGGAAGGAAGGAAGGAAGGAAGGAAGGAAGGAAGGAAATGGATAAAGGGAGAGAGGAGGGAGGGAAGAAGAAAGGGAGGGAGAAGGAAGGAAGGGAGGGAGAGAGGGATGGAGAAAAGGAAGGAGGAAGGGAGGGAGGGAGGGAGGGAAGGAGAAAGGGAAGGAGGAAGAGAGGGAGGGAGGGAGAGAGGGAAGGAGGGAGAGAGGGAAGGAGGGGAAAATGAAAGGAGAAGGAAATTAAAATTGATGTGTTTTTATGACAGGGTCCTATTATGTAACACAGCTAGTCTCCAACTCATGACAACCCTTTCTCAGATTCCTCCCAAAGGATTATCAGTATGTATCACTGATACAGTATGCCAGAAAAACTGAGGGAAAAATAAATTTGGTTAAATCACTTTAACAGATCCATTACAAGTTAATATGAAATACCCTTATTAAAAAATAAAAGGAAACCTGCTTTCTAAAACAATAAGCAATTTTTGAGAAAGTCGGATAGTTTTACAAACCTTATAATACCTACTAGAAGATAGCTGAGTCTCATACATGTTTCTATTCAATCTGATTTGATATGTTCTTTTGGTTGATGTAAGAAAAATTTTATTTACACAAATATTTGGTGAGAAAAATGGGGTGAGTGTGACTTGCAGATCCCCTAAAAGGGACTTGAGGGTCCTCAGGACTCTCTTCTAATTGAGAAGGGCTATTCTGTAACATCAGGAAAGTCCTGCTATCAGTGGGTCTCAAAAGCAAAGCCCCCAGCAATGCATCCTGCCATGGATGTGGCTCAGGCCAGTTGTAGATTCAGCTGACACAATAATACAAAATAAATCCCCTCCTTTTCCTTCTCCATAAGGATGAGATGTGTTCCACGTTTTCCATTTACTTTATAGTCTGTGGTGATGAAGCCAAGTCAGGCCATCCTCCCTCACTCAACAGATGTTTAACACCAATGAAACCATCATTTCTCATTGGTTTGTTCATTTTTCAGTTGGCTCTGATGGTACCTTAAGCCTACTGAAGCTACTCAGCTTTTTTCCCCAGGAGAAATATTTTCTTGCCAGAAATATTCACTTTAGTGCCCAACT